GCTTTGGGTCTTTAAAAAAAAAGTGTTTTCATGCCAAAATATTGTGAGCTTTTCAGTTTCTGCATGCTAATGAAGTGTGAACTGATTTCTCCTCTTCGAAGAGCTAATGAGGAAGTTGAAATAAAAGTCCTAGGAAACTAATTTATAGGAAAAAGGTATTCTAAAGCTAGCATTGCATTTAAGCCTTCATTGGAAAGTACATGAGGAGATTTAACACTGTAATATGGAGTAAAACATAAAAATTAAAGGAAACGAAAAAGGAAACTATTCCTAGCAAACATTCACAGCAGGTGCTATAACCATGAGTTTAAAATGGAAAAATATTGGAGGTGTAGATTAGTACCATCGATCAGCAGAGTGAGTGTGAGCCATCAGCCAGCAGTTAATACCCGCATGGATATCACTTAGCTGCTCTGAAGAACATTCTGATGTGTCTCAGCATAAGAAACCTCTGGTAGCAAAAGTCAGAACAGCCAAGAGATGAAACTCTAGGTAAGTTTTGTTCACCTAGAAAAGTAGGGGGGAAATGTTTCCTTCACTCTCTGAGTCTCTCCTTTCCCATTAGGGGACTGCTGTTTATAGAAATTGCCAGAATCTGGGTGTGGAAAAGCCACTAGCTACCCTGTGGATGACAAAAATGCATTTGCACATTAAGAGCAGACAGAAAAGCCAATAAAGGAAATTAGTTGTCCAGATAAAGAACTAAGCCAGATACAACCAGTAGGTTTCAGCTACCAGCTAAGGTTGATTAGTTACTAGTAGCTTCCTGGAGTGCTGGGCTGAGGAGGATTCTGAGTCTGCATCCTGTTTAGAACAAAATCCAGGATGGATTAGGTAGGGGCATTTGGGGAGGAGAAAGAGAACTGAAGAAGAGAAATATGTTGGTTAATTGCCATCTATTTGGGTCAAGGGCAAAGAGCGAGAGACAGTGCCTCTTGCATTCTAGCAAAGAGGGTGAAAGCCCATCGCAGATACTGCAGAAAACAACCCCACTTTGCAATCAGTAAGGGAGAGCCAGGCCTTTGTTTCCAGAAACTGCCACATGAGTTATAATTTACCTGGAGTCAATAGCAACATGCGGAGAAGACTGAAGGATGCCAGAAAATTTTCAGTGCTGAGAAGTAAATGGTTGTGCCAACACAGAGATGTTCTCTGGTTTTCTTGTGGTGGAAATAACCAGAGTATTGCAGGCCATTCACAGAAATACACGTATGAATGATTTATTGATATTGCCCTACCTATATGCCTTTGCCCCAATTGAGAAATAGTTTTTTTACATTCCTTATGGTAATAAATCCCCACAAGAAGCCCATGATCCTTCAGTAGCTTAGTAACATTCCTAAGTAGTTTAACCTACTGTTAAAATGTTAGAAAAATGTTCCACTTTACACATTTTGATGCCAAGTCCTGTCTTGTTTCCATTGCCCTGGGGGATGCTCTCCACTGCCCACAGTGGAAAATGATGAGGTCTGGCCCCCAGAACACACTCAGGCCGCAGTCACGATGTCTAAATGCAGATTGTGCTGTTGTGTAGCATTTGAAATTACTGAAATCACTGACGTCGATTATTTAGATTCAGAACTGTTTGTCCTAACCAGGGAAGAGACCGGTTTAAATGTCAATGCTCAAGATGTTAAATCCCCAACATCCTTGCTAATTAAAGATGCATTTCTCAGATTTCTTGCTCTAGCAACACCTAAAATAGGCTCCAAACTGGATAAAATTCACCTCTTTCAATCCAGTGAAATGAAAATGGCAGCTGAATGTAAAAAAAGAAAACTGGAACAGAAGTAATCCAGTCGAGGAGTTAATGTTCTCAGGACCTGTTACTTGTTCCAACAGTAACTTAGTGAATATTGACTTGGCAGAGATGACCAACCCCGCACACGCAGGCACACAGAATTATTATTTTCAAAATAAGCATAGAGAGACCCTAAGAGTGCTATGTTCTTTAGCAAATATGGATGATACACAGAAACGGAGAGTGGGATACACATCTTGGAAAAGCAGAGGAAAGGTTTCGAATAAACTAAACTATCAACAGCAGCTGGTGTTAGGACACAGGATGATATCAGCTTTTATCTCCCTTCTCTCGACTGGTATAGATTTGCCAAATTTCTTTGCTTTCTACATTATGTCCACATTCCCCAAGACACACATGTTGCTTTCTTTGCAGGTATGATATCATGAATCTGCAGTACACTGAAGCCAACCGCTATGACTACGTGCACGTGGGAACCTGGCACGAGGGGGTCCTGAACATCGATGACTACAAGATCCAGATGAACAAGAGCGGGATGGTCCGGTCCGTGTGCAGCGAGCCTTGCCTGAAGGGCCAAATTAAGGTAAGCCAGCCACCGGCGAGTTCTCAGGCGGGGTTCATGTATTATTCAAATAAAAATACACAGCCATGTGTCTTGGACAAGGCTGTCCAGGGAAGATGGGCCAGGCTTACTGTTATGGTCCAGGCTTGTGGTTAGCTAAAGTGGAAAAGACAAAGGAAGATTAGGAAATGGAATGGGAAAACCATTTAAATATTTGTCACGATCTTTTATTGAACCAGGACAATGACGCAGGGTTTTAAATACAATATAGAAAGTAGGGGGAAATGCATAATCGATTTAAAAATTGAAATGATGTAAACATGGAAACCAAGCCAGTGATACTGCTTTGTCATAGTTCCAGCTATTGTTAAAGAAAGCAGAAGCTGGGCAATGCTAAATAAGCATGTAACTAAAATAAAGAGAACGGGGGAGCAGAGAAGCCCTGTTTATTGTTTCTCCACCAAGTTCTTTGATTTTCCTGAAATTGGTATTTTCTAGCCCAGAGAGAGCCCACACTTTCTAATTATTCTCAGATGCTTTTTCCCCCCAGCTTGTGAGTAACCGTGATATTACTGTATACCTAAAACTAGAGTAAATAAACATCAACTATTGAGCATTTAGCTGGATGTGCTAGAGAATTCTCAGCGAAGAAAACACAGAGACAGCACTCTCTGTACCCCACGCTATTTAAAACCCAACCGGATGGTGCACCAGGAAGCGGAGTGTAGGGGAGTGATTGTGAGCTGGAAAGGGTATAGATTAAATGACCGAGCAGGTCTTCCCCTCTCTAATTTTCTGTGATTCATCTCTGGCAGCAGACAGGCTGTCAGGTAAATGTCACCCAGCACAGCTGGAGCTGGAGTAGGTGCTGTGTGTGGCTCCGGCCCTCTTACCATGAGCCATGGCCATGCTGCTGTGCCCTTTGTGGGAGCTGTGGAACCACCCACGCGGGGGTGAAGTACACTTAGGCGTCTTAGGGCAAGAGTCTAGTCTTGTACAGAAGTGTTGGTGTGGAAACAGGAAAAGCCTCATCTCTCCTGTTCAAAGAAGGTGGGGACTGGCCATGCGCAGCATCTTTTGGCAGCTGAGAAAAGCTGTCCTGATGGACTCAACGTTTCAGTGACAGCAGCCACTTCGAAGATGAAACAAACTCTGAGCCAATCCACCCAAACTTTCAGTATCTTGTGCCTTCTCTGCAGATGTGATGATAAAAGTACTTAATAATTCTCATGACAGCTCCCCAATCAGACTTAGCTCCGTTCCAGTGCTGTGACAGGGTGCTAGAGGCCACCTGCCACACCCACCTTAATCCTTAACCTGGATCATGGAAAGATTTGGGCGAGGGGTCCCATAAGGCTCACGTGGTGTGGGGTATTCAAGAGGCTTAAACACACCCATAATTTCCACTCAGTGCCCCAGTGTTTCAGTTGTATGAGCACAGCTCCAGCCAAGCCGCTGTGTATGAACTGAGTGTCTTACTGCTTCTCCCCAAGAATCTGATTCTTGTCCTGATGAAATTCTTTCACATGAGACTGTCAGGTGGTATGTAGGAGCACACCTTCTGAAATCCAGAGGCCCCCAAACTTCCCTTTCCCTGTTGCCAGAGATGCCAGACAACTGGATTCTGTGTTCATCATCTTTTCTGGATGGTGGGGAAAACGGGACATCTGAGACCTAGAGTCATATGATGAAGGCGACACGGAAGCCCAGAGCTCATGGGCGTCTGGGACCCAAAGAGTGTCACATGTTTGGCGCAGGTCCTCTGTCCTGTGTGGGTGATAGCATTGAGTCTATAGTGAAGACAACTGCTGTGAATCAGTTTATGGAACTACAAAGTTGAGTATTTCAGAGTATAAGGGGGGAAAAAAAATCCCTGGCAAGAGCAAACAGATTATTCCCAAGATTCACGGCCCTCCAGCTCCCTTTCACAGTTCCCTCCTGTTCCTCTGGTTGCTGGCAGGCCGTGAATGGGGGCTCACAGACTGTATGTGCATTCCCGAAGAAAGGCCTCCCCCCCCAAGTTCAGAGGGAAGGCCAGCAGTGTATATCTGTGCTGAGACACAAAGTATTCCTGGCATTACGTTTGCATTACGCCCATGCAGTGTTATCCAAGGTGGTTTCACAAATCACTGCTGAGCTGTTACAGAGCATTTGCTCTAAATGCAAATCTTTTGGGGGCCAATTCAAGAAATACTGTGTACCCTGCAGGAGGAAAGTAGCACCTGGATTGTGGGGGGGAGATGTGTGCTTCTTTCCCTTAAGCACCATGGGGGGTACAGAAATAAACAAAATCTGAATCTCATTTTCCACATAATAGCACTTATCTTCTTACACCATCAATTTGCCACCTACTAAGCCCAGGATGCTCAGAGTCAGGTTCGTGGTAGCCACTGCAAAGATGGGAGACAGGCATTTTACAAGGTAATTGTAGGACTTGGACTTGTGTTAACTGTGAAACATAACCTTGGGAAAGGAGTATTCATTTTAAATCTCTAATACCATTTAAAATGCTGAAATAATCACTTGACTTCTTTTATGACAGCTCATAGAACTTTCTTATGGTAATTGCCTCTGAAGCAGTTAAAATTCCAGTTTTCTTGCGTTACTGATTTTTAGAAACTAAATAAAATATCTTATAGAAGCAGAAGTTGATTTTAGCTATACCCCAAATGCAGGTAAATGAAATCAAACTTTGCATTGTTGAGTGTTATATTAGTAAGTGTCCAGTCAGGAAAAAAAGAGCCCATGCCAGGTGGCTCGATGGAAGGAATTTAATATAAGAACTGACTATAAAAGTAAGAGGGGGCATGGAGGCAACTCAGAGATGAGCAGCAGCAAGACTCATTCTTGCCTCCAGGCCAGAGGGACACAGGGAGACACCTCAGCTACTCCCCGAGAAGGCCTCTGAAGTGAGGAGGGAGAGGACACCTTGGCTTCTCCCTCCTTCTCTTCTGTGTCCATTAGGGCCTTGCATTTGCCAACCCTGCGCAGAAGGCAATTGGCAGGTACTTAGCTCAGGTTCCCTTGGACACTTAAAGCCAACACTTAAGGGCTGGCGCATTATTGGGAGGTAGAATCCCAGAGGAGCAGGAGTGAGGGGAAAAGGGAAGCGAGGCGTGGAAGGATGGGAAGACACCACAGCCAAAAATGCACATAATTAACTTCACCCCATGGAGGGTGACTCTGTGTCATTCTGTACAGAACTCCTGACACACAGTTGCTTCAGTATGTGTCTACACTCGTGATCATTTTGTATTCCCGTACCATTTTATTACATTTTTCTTATAATAAATGACAATGTAAGATTTCCCTAAATTGATATTTTTATTTAGTTCTTACAAGACTCTCTTCAGTTACCTCTTATTTTTTATTCTCTTTGAATTATTTATTTCCATTTCTTCTCTTTATGTCATATTCTATATTATTTCCCTCTTTTCTTTTGTATTCATTACTGAGTAATTAATATGTTCACAGAACTAAGCGAGCACCATGAATGCAAAGGAAGCTTAAACACAGCCCCTTCTTCTGAGGAACCCATGGAGTGGGCAGAGCAAGACATACGGCCGTCAGAGCTGACCGCTGTCCAAGCGCTCAGGGGGCGGTGGGGACCCGGAGGCAGGGCCACCCTCTCCTGTGGCCTGAATTAGGGGGGCCCAGTGTCTTTATCCTGCTCAGTCTCCCAGGTTTTTCCCTTCTGAAGGAAAGTTTTCCTGTTTCCTTTGACTTACAGTTACTGTTCCTTCATTATATCCTCTTGATGCTGTTTTCTTTCCTCCTTTTTCTAACTAACACCTAAATTTAAAAAATCCATTACAAATCACTTCAGAAACTTAGTGATAAAGTGAACACTTGATCGCCAACTGCACAAATACTCGGGACGCCTGCGGTGCCCATGTCACGGAGCCAGAGCGCTGGTGGCAGCCGCAGGTCCCCCAGACTCAGCGGGACGCGGGCAGAGCCCCGGAGCCCCGGCCCCAGGGAGCCTTGGTCCTTCGCAGGCAGTTTTTGTGAAGCATCAAGACTTTTGTCACAACTTGGAGCTGCCATCAGAAGTGTTTTCCTGTGGCAAAAAACCTAAAAACGCTTTATTCAGTTATTGAGTATATACTACATGAAAGAAGTATCAGTGAGTACAACTGATATAAAAATAATGAACAATATTCCTGATTCGGGGAGATTAAAACATAAACTAGACACAATAACTTAAGAATTTTTTAAAAACTATATCTGCATGAAACATATCTATCATATAGATGTGAAACAGAGGACAAAAACTAACCTGTGGTAACAAAATGCCAACTGTATTTTAATTATTAGAGAATTCTAAGTGAGACAGTGTTTCAAAGGGTTTACCGGTTTAGAAATACTTACTGGAACTTTTGATGTGTCTGCTCTTGGAAGTAACGGCATAGACGAAGGAAAGATGACATTTGAAATGGAAGGTAATATTCCTTCTTTTATTAAAATATACTTGTTTACTATATGGCTCTATGTTAGAGCCAGTGGTTCAAACACATGCACTTACACATATACACACTCACACACACACACAGACACACACACAAACACTCTTTTCTCCCTCTCTCTCTCTTTACGTCCTTAAAGTATAGTCTCCATTCAGCAGCCAAAATAACCCTTATGAAAAGCAAGTCAGATGAAGAACAAAGCTGATAATGTACGTGCTCTACTTGAAATCTCCCTCCGAAACAATAAAGCAGTCAGAGTGGTGTGGACATTAAGGAGGACATACGGGGGGATGGCACAGAGAACGGCCTCCCTCACTGGGGGAACTTATGTAAGAAATTAATAACGGAAGAGCTAGATGCAGAAACAGGGACCAAGGCAAAGTGAATGTCTGACTGAAGAGCTTATATTTCAAAAGTATTGGAAGAGGGAGGCACGAAAATTCCTTAACTGGCATAACTATATTTTTTAAAAAGATTCAATTTGACACTTTCATTGCTGCCTACTGTGTGTTCTTGGTTCAGTTCTGTGCCTTGAGGGCTTCTCTTTTCTTGAGGAGCCCACAGGCCACTCGGATGATCTTGGCAACTGTATATGTTACTCTAGAGTAGGAGATGAGGGCCAGAATTTAGGGGTAAAGTTATAAAACCTCAGTCTAGAGCATGGCTGAAAGGTAGAAAATAGAGAATTCCATATTATGGACATTATTTGACAAAGTTACACATACTTGGTAGCTGAATAAAGGAGTAATAAAAACTTCATCTAAGAAGTTCCATTTTTCATCACTTATTAAAGGTGTAAGCTACTCATTTATTTACTTATTTACTCAGTTATTCAATCCCTAATTTTAAATGCTTTCCTTGTGCCAGCTACTCACAGACTCTACCTTTACCAGTCATCCTGTGTAAATAAGTTTGTTCAGCATTATCATCTTTTGGATTTGTCTAATTAATAGTACTAATTTTATAGTGAGAGGAAAAGGTAGCACTGATGGAAGAGATATGCAGTATTTTGTGATGGCTCTTACTGTATTTTTTATACTGATTAAGATAAAAAGGCAATATTCATTTATTTATTCGCTTTTCTCATATCACTTAGAAAAATTTATCATTTGCAATGTTAATTTCCCATACTTATTCTGAGTGTAGGTATGACTTTTTCAAAAAGACTTCATGTAATTTTACTTTCTAAAGTTATTTAAAAGTAAAAGAAGAAAAAGAAAACCTTTTACATTTTCTAAAAATATGCTGTCATTTGATATATTTTATGTAACTCTAAAATATTTGTATAAATTTCTACCTGATCTGAGAAAAGATAATTTTATTTTCACAAAAGCTAGAGTTTGTGTGACTTTAAGGGATGGCAATATTTGCATTTTAATTTTTGACTTTGATAATGTTTAATGTGCTGGGCAGAGACTTCTGCTTCTAGCCATGATGGAGCCACAGGGTCCGTGCAGACTTTGCCCTGTGCTGTAAACAAAGAGAAAACTTGACACAATATATGAAATAATTGTGTTCAGACATTGAAGAACAGCACATGACCTTGAGTGCAGGGAAGTGAATGGAAACAAACAAGGTGAACCCTAAAATCACTCAGGCTTTGTGCCTGGAGGCAATTTTCTGGTTGCTGTCCAGTGAGAGAGAACACAGAGCTTGGCCATATTGTCAATTTAAGAAGACAGAAATCAGGGTTTAGGAGGCCAAGGCAGCGGGAATTTGAAGTGCAGCGTAAGGCGCAGTCAGCATCCATGCAGAAAAAGAGTCCCAGAAGTTGGCGTGCGAGCTCCCTTGAGTATTTGACTGAATGCCGGTTTGAGCATGAGTAGGAGAGAATTCAAATAATCCAGGGAAAGGATAATTACTAAGGAGGCTGGATCGCTAGAGCTCACACAGAGCCAGGAATTGTCCCAGTCTTTACAAGCCAGAGTGGCGATACCTTGCTGAATGCACAAGAAATTAAATAGACACCCCAGAGGGTCACATCTTAAAAATGAGACTGAATTATTCATAAAGTAGAGGCTATTTTGCACTTGCCCTAAAGATTAAAAACAAGACTCAACCTGAGCCACAAGTAACTTAGCTGCCTGCCCGGAAAAGGGCAATACTTCTTTAAGAGTAAAACTCCAGTACTCTACGCCTTAGGTACACAAAGTTCAGCATCTGGTAAAAAAATTTTAGACATATGTCCAAGTGGTAAAAGATGAGACATTACCAGAAGGAAAATCAAGCGATAGAAATAGTCCCAGAAATTACATTGATGATGGAATTAGCAAAGATATTAAAATACCTACTTTAAGCACATACTAAAGGATTTAAAACAAAATGTGAATATCATGAGAAGGCAAATAAAAAATATAAAAAATTACAAAATGAAACCTATACAATGAAGATTAAAATATATAAGAAATAGTATTTCAATCAATGGGATTAACATGTTAGACATTATAGAAGTAAAAATCAGTAAATTTAGAAACATAGCAATAGAAAGTAGGCAACTCTGGCACACAAAGGGAAAACAAAGTTAAAGAAATGAACAGAGTCTCAGTGACTTGCAGAACACAACCAAGATTTATATATTACAAGCGCAATTGGAGACCCAGGAGACAGGTTAGAAAAAAAATTTTAAAGAAATAATGACTTGAAAAATATTCAGATGTAATGAAAATGTAAATTCAAATTCCTGAAGCTCAACAAATCCCAAAGAAGTTGAACACAAAGAAGACATAGTTAAATTGATAAAAACCAGTGATAAAAAAGAAAAATCTAATATCAGCCACAGCAGACTTCTCATCAGAAACCATATACAAGGCAAGGAAGGAATGATATCTTAAAAGTGTTAAAAGAAAGAAAAAATCTTTCACCCTAGAATTCTATTTCCAAGGACAATAGAATGGCAGAAAGAAAGAAAAAAAAACTGTCAACTTAAATTTCCTACCAAGTGAAAATATTTCTTTTCAAAAATTAAGCCAAAATAAAGACTTTTCAAATGAATAAAGGGTGAAAGAAGCCATAATTCTCACATCAACACTGCAATAAATGTTAAAGAATGTTCTTCAGGGTGAAGAAAGTTATAGCAGGTAGAAATTTGGGTCTGTACAAAGGAGTTAAAAGCACCAGAAATTATAAGTGTGTGGGTAAATATAGAATATAATAATTTTTTTCTTCTTTCAAAAGTGTATTTCAAAGATGACTGTTTAAAGCAAAAATAATTTCATAGGAGCTTATAAAATATGTGTAAGTAAAATGTACTAAAACAATACCCAGTGGGGGGAATGGAAGAATATTGATGTAGGGCTCTTACATTGTACATGAAGTTGTATAATACTATTTGAATGTAGACTGTGATAAGTTAATGATGCATATTTTCAATCCTAGAACAACTACAAAAACAGCACAGAGGTTTAGCAAATATGCCAATTTTAGGGATAAAATGAAATGCTAAAAAATTGTCAATCCGAAAGAAGGCAGAATAAAAGGAAAAAAGAAACAAAGGACAGATGGGACAAACAGAAAAAAAGATGGCTTGATTCATATCCAACCAAACTGATGATTATAATAAATGTAAATGTACAAAACACATCAATAAAAAAGCAGAAATTGTCAGACTGGAGATAAAAGCAGGATCTAATTATGTGCTGTCTACAAGAAACTCACTTTAAATGCAGTGTGGTTTGATGTTTATTTTTGCATTGTGTAAGTGAAAAAGTGCTTACCAAACAATTTGAAAAACAGAGAAAGTTGACACTGCTCAGATAATAAGGAAATCTTCAGTAATTTTGGACTAGTAATTTTTCTTCCAACAATTTATGTGATGTTTTTGAATTTCCTAGAGCAAGTAACAAAGCCGAGAACAGGGATATACTTTCTAAGCCATCATTCTGTTTTTATGTACATAAAATTGCTCAGACTCTCATAATTACAACAAAAATTCCAAAATTCCTCAGTTTTTATGAATTAATGAGGTTTTATTATGTAGAAACTTTTGTGTTTAAACATGACTTGCTCTTTCAGAGAAGAAAACTACATTTTCACTTTCTGAGAATAATTAATACTTATTAATATAAATAAGAATAAAATTCAACGTTTCATTTTTGACTCTGTAAGAGATACTGTAGGCAGATTTCTTCATGAAAGAAATTATTGTTGAAAAACCTCCAACTCCAGCATGAAATGAATGGAAACTCACATATGAACTCTATTGTAATCAGGTATATTTCAATCCATGTACTTAATTGTCTTCGGCATATAGAATTTTTTGAAAAGTTATTTTTTTATTGCAGTATGAAAACAAGTCGTCTGATAGAGAAGACTTTCTGGAGAAGCCATCCTTAGGCACATGAAATATCTCTATGTTACAGGTCATACGCAAAGGAGAAGTGAGTTGCTGCTGGATTTGCACAGCCTGTAAAGAGAATGAATACGTGCAAGATGAGTTCACCTGCAAAGCTTGCGACTTGGGGTGGTGGCCCAACGCAGATCTCACAGGTAGGAGCAGCCACACTTGCAAACCTTGTCTCTGACAATGTGCCCATGGTTTAAAATGTGAGCAATTAGCTCATGTCCTTTTGGATGCTCATTTAGAGTGCGGATTCTCTAACACTCATGTCAAAGAGGACACTCAAACCTTTTATACATTTTCCATGATCTACATTCAAAGGAAAGTTTAGTTAAATCTAAATAAAACTGTAGTGACAGGGTATTCTGGTATACCAGTTGTCTTGTTTCTTTTTTAAAATTGTATTCGAAGATATTTCTAATCACTTGAATTTATATTTGTACATCTTTCCTGAACATCAGCACTATTGTAGGTCCTAAAAGTATAAGGAAAAGTGAAACACAGTCCCAGCGATGTTTTACTTAGAGTCTATTAGGGAAGAAACATGTAAAAATATAAAATATAATAGCTGTGAATAGTATAATAGAAATATTTATAAAGTGTTATAATAGTTTGTTAGGGAGACAAGGAGATGAAAGGAGTTGCAGACCTACAGTAGAACGTGGGAAGCATGAAAACATATAAAACATTTGGGGGGAAAGCATGAACCAAATGTATGGGGTTGGTTGCTAGACGCAAGGGCGTAGCAGAGAAGTGGTCTAGAAATGGGACTTAGTGAGCACACGGACAGTGGGTGGTAAAGAGCCTCCCCGTGGTCTTCTCCTGAGTGTTTGGATTTTGGCTTTAAGCACAGGAGAATGACTGAGGGATTTAATGTGAGTTATAACATGGTATCTGCTTCTCAGAAAGATGCCCCTCATAGTGGTGTGGTGGAGAGTGGTGAGACTAGACTGAAAGTAGAGGTTAGGAAGCTACTGCATTGGTCCCAGTGAGTAATTTCAAAGGGCATGAACTAGGGCATCTGTAGCAGGAACGGAGAGGAATAAATGAGTACATGAGGTGATTCACTAGCAAAATCAGTGGGATGAATATGGGTGCATTATGTGAGTTTGTTTCCTAAGAGCAATCTTCAGATACCTGAATTTTGTTATCCACAGCCCTTGGTGTGAGCTCACACAGGAGTGGTGTTTCACTAATACTTTGCACAGATTTTAAGAGTAATAGACCATGGAAATTTTGCCCTTATTAGAGAGGGTAACATTCCTGATTGTTGTTCACTTTTTTACTTGTTTCCAAATAAGAATATAAAATTAAGAAATTATGTGGCTTATTCAGAGCACATCAAAAATGGCTGGGTTAGTAGAATCAGGTCACATAATGAAAATGACACTTATTAAGTAAGAATACCTTGAAAGATATTAATCCTGTTAAAAAATATATTAAACTAAAACGGGTACCAGAAATCTTTTAGAAATCACCTAGTATAAAGACCTTTTTAAGGAAAAGGAAATTAGATCAGAATATTTTTGAAGGTACATACTGTATCTCACTCATCTTTTTATTCTCTAGCTGAAAACTGATTTTCAACTTTCATGAGCCTAAGAATTGCCCAGGAATTACCCGTCTACAGAGATTCTCATTCGCTGGTTCTGAGATGGGACCCAGCAGACTCTGAGGCACCCCGTTCCTGTCCCACCCTCTCAGAAACATTACTCTCTGGCTCCTAGCCTGGTGCCTTGACTATAATAGCTTCCTAATAAGTATTCGTTCTTTTGAGAGAATTAAAAGAAAGAAGGGATTCACCCAACTTCATCTACTTCATCTAGATCAATGCAGCTGGTTATTAGAGAAGCCACTCTGGGAATCCAGGGCTTTTTGTCCCTGGTTCTAATGCTCTCTCACTGTGCCACTTATCTCATGATGGATTGGCTTGGAATAGCCTTTCCTACCTCTCTTTGGACACACGCCTCCTCTCCCACTCATTCTGTGTCTCTCTTCACAACTTTTCCCTCCTTCATAATGTGCGCTTCCTGTTGGGCCTTTTTGTCTTGAGTAAGTAGGTTCCCTTAGATCACCCCTGTTCTTAAGAACTGGGGTTGACTTAATAGTCAGTCTACTCTGCTCCTTGACGGAGCCCACTGCTGACTAGGGAGAGGCTCAAAGAAAACCAGTCTCTTTCTCAGACTGACCTGAGGAGTCAGAAGTCCTGGCTGTGTGGTACAACAGTTTTTTCTCTTGACCACATTCTGTGAAGCTTCCCCAGACTTTTCTTACTACTCTATTTACACATTAATTGGGGTTTATCTCATACATGAAAAAAATTTCTATCCTATTTTAAAACATTAAAATACACACACACAAATTTTTTTTTAATTGATTTTTTTTAGAGAGGAAGGGAGAGGGAGAAAGAGAGAGAAACCTTGATGTGAAGGCAAAACATCAATTGGCTGCCTCTTGCATTCCCCCCAGGAATGTGCCCTGATTAAGAATCGAACCAGCGACCTCTTGGTGCATGGGACAATGCCCAACCAATTGAGCCACACCAGCCAGAGCCAAAAAAGCTTTTCAAAAAAGATCTAATATGTTATAAAAATGGAACTCAAAGTCATACATTTTATTCTGTAGAGATCTTCCATTGTGAGTATATTGTCTGCACATTGCCAAATGATTACCAACATTGATTAGGCCATTTTGATTTAGTAAAGTATAAAAAATACTTTGACTATAAATAGATGAATATTAATGCAATTATCCTTCTAAAGAATTTAATCTATCATATATAAAAGTCATTTTACCATTCAAATGAGTTGAGCCAAGCAACAGCTCAGAGTGTCTTTATGTAGCAACAGCCAAGTGTCTCATATATCCAGATTATTTTGCAAATCTTATGTTTAGGATCTTTTAGAACATACATCTCTCACACTAATTTATCTTTAGTGTTAAATGCCATCTGTTGTTTCGGCATCCTTTTGGTCTTATACATGAATGGAAAATGAGATCTCATTTGCCACTTGTTTTGTGCCATGTCAGACTCAAAGCAAGGGTGCTGTAGAGGGCAACGTGTTGTTGGTTGTTGCCATGGTAACAGTAGTGGGTAGTCGTTAAAAAAGAAAACCCACAGACAGAGAATCCCCAAAATCAGTAGAAATACTCAGAGGAGTAAGTGCATTGCCTTTAAGCAGATATTCTATTTTCATAGGTAGATTTTTTAAAATTGAATTTTAGTTAAAATGAGAAACTATTCTTTTCTGGGAAGTGGTGTTTTTTAATCGAAGATAAAGTTTGTTAAGATATGTTTAAAATACTTTTATGAGATAGCTACTTTACATATGTGCTCCAAAGACTTCAATATTAATGAATAAAAGCATGTTTATGAGTGAGTTTTTATTTTTATTAACATATGTTTTTTGGCTATGAAGAAAAATTGGTATATTTCTTAGAGGAAGTGATTTCTGGAGCTGTTAATAAGTTTATCATATTTTCTTCTTGGGAAAAATATACATTTGAATTCAGCATTTAAATTTACACTTTATTTTTTATGATGCATAAACAGGGATCTCTTCTGCCATAATATATAACTTGATAGTAGATTAACAATTCATGGGCCAATTATATATAATCTAATGCTACTTATTTCTTTTATTTTGCTTTATTTTTAAAATTTATCTTTATTGTTGAAAGTATTACAGATGTTCCCCTCCCCCCCCAATTAGTTTTTCCCTCCCCACTCCCTCTCTCTCCCAGGCCTTCACCACACTATTGTCTGTGTCTATGAGTTTTACCTATATGCATATAAGTTCTTTGGTTAATCCTTAAAAAAGTGTCCATATTATGTTAAATAAGTGAAGTATTCTGAAGCATACAGCTATTAATTTATATACCTGTTATTTTCTTTTAACAATTTGATATTCCACAGAGAAGGCCACAATTCAGTTATTAGAAAGGTTTAGACTACGGTAAAGTATTGGATTTTGTAATACTTATTAGATGACTTGTTGTATATTAAATCTAGTAGTTTCCTTTTTTATTTTTAGTATAAGAACCATAGTACTGAGTTTTTCAAAATTCACGTTTGTGTAGGGACACTTCTTGAATGACATAAACACAATCCTGAGATTTTCCTCCATTGATTAAGATTTATGAGTATTGTATCATTGTGTAGAAATACAGGAAAGGGAAGAAGCAACAATTCATAATTAGCTAACTAACTAGTAGAAAACATTCGATGTTTTAATGGGGATTTATTACATATGGTAATACACTTAAAGACCGTGTACAAAACCTAAAGATATTGTGACTAATTTATTTATGTCTGGAATTGTCTTTATGCATTGACTATTGAATTAAGAGGTCGGCTTTAATGGACAAATTGGTTATCTATTGCTGCATAATAAATCACTCCAAAATTTAGTAGCTTAAAATAACACACATTTATTATCTCACAGTTTCTGTGAGTCAGGAATATGGACACAGTCTAGCTGGGTCCTCTGCTTCATGATCTTTCATAGGCCTGAAATCAAGGTGTCAGCTGGGGAAAGGGTCTAATCTGAAGGCTTGATTATGGAAGGGTACACTTCCGAACTCACTTGTGTGGTAATTGGGAGACTGCACTCCTCAAAGATTATTGGGCTGAGAATTTCAGTTTTTTGCTGGTTATTGGATGGAAACGAATCTCAGTTCCTTGCAACATGGTAGGTTGCTTCATCAGAGCCAGCAGGGAGAGCCTTCTTTCTACCAAGATGAAAATCATTATTTTATTCAATCTATAAATGGAGGAGACCCCCCATCAATTTTGCTACACTCTATAGAAATTAAGCAAGTCATAGGCCTTGTTTATACTTAAAGGGAGGGGATTACACAAGGACATGAATCTTTGGAGATGGGTTTATTGGGAACGATCTTAGGAGCTGCCTACCACCACCATGGCCAATGAATGGTTCTTCGACATGTGCTGTGCTGTTGAGTTAACATATCTAGGTCATTGTGTAGAATTTTCATTTTGATACAAAAAAGAAAGATTTATAATAATTTAGGTACTTATGATAATTTGTATGCTTCTGTGCTCTGTTCCAATCCATCTTCTGTTTCTGTGGAGCCTTCTGTCCATAAGAATTCTGGGGCAAAAGTTATTTTTTGAAAAATTTCTTGAACTATAGATACTGTGGATATTTTCATGACTAGAGCAGCTATAATTTGATCATGTGTAGGTACAACTTGTCTGGAAATAAATCCTATCTATTAAATTTTGGGGTTTTATGTCACAGAAAATAATGTATCCTTCTAATAATAATCTCAAAGTATGAGTTATAGGTTGGAGCATAAGATTGTTCAAAATTCTCACTATTTGAGGGATTTTATCAAACCAAGGTATCTGATGTTCTATTAATAGTGAGATTATTGGTAGACATAGAGGTACCTATATCAATAAGAAAGTGTTGCTTCCCTTAGAAGTTCAGAGGAAGGACAGGGAGTTCATGGGTGCCAACTTCTCCCATGGAGTTAAGTCATTAGACAAATTTTAAATATCTGTCTTTCTGAGCTTTAGCTAATGTGGTACATTTGTTCTTTAAATGATACAGTACTTCTGTTTGCAGTACCTATATAGAGGTCCTTTTTGTTATTTTACCTAAAGGTCCACAAATACATTAATTTATAGTTTATTTACTTTTATACTCTTTCAAAGTGTTTAGTCACATATAGAATATCTATGAGTCAGTAATTATGTATTTTAACATTTTTCTCTGGTTTGATTCCCCTAATTCAGGCTTGAGCCCATTTATAGGAAGAGAAGATATAGTTTTTCTTATATCAACTCTTGAGTCCACCCCAGAATTATCTGAAGATTTCCTAAAGTCCATCTTCCATCTTCACTTAGTTTATAATTTTGAATCTTTACCAAAGAAAAGCTTCTGAAATTGCCTTATGTAATGCATTTTCTATTTTTATTTTTAAAAATTTACACTACCAGTTTATTTAAATCTTCTCTTTTCCAACCAGCTGCTTTTAAATATTTTCCTCCATGAGGCTAACAGTTAATTGAATTAATTGGTATATATCTGTAGTGTGTGACAATAAGTATTTGAATTTTGCAGAAAATATTTTGCCTGTCGCTCTAAAGTTTAGGAAAACCATTAATTATTGCTCTGAATTTGGCTCAGGGTTTTAATTCAACTTCCATAGATCTGACTCGTGTTCTACAAATTTAAAATATGGTATTCTTTTCTAATGAAAACTGAGGACAGAATAGTTCATTTTAAAAAATCAGGTAAAGTTACATGGAAAAAGAGAAACACAAATAGAGTTGCTTTCAAAAGGTTCCCAAGGCCTTGACAAAGACTACATTGGAATTTAATTTACTTAGCAACGTCAGTATGACAATTAAGAAGCTGAATGTTGACTATTTAGTATCTTATTTCCTAATTATTCTACAAACCCTTTTAAATATTTTAATTTATTGATTGTGTCATATCAAAAGTTCTCCCTAATGGTCATTCTTATTCTAAATATCTATCTAATCATTTTTCTAAACTTCATCAAGGAAATGAGAAGAATTAAAATTAAAAGTAACTTTTTATAGGAAGCAGCAGTTCTTCTAGGAAGCAGTTGAGACTTTGACATAGACAAACCCCTGACAGACAAGAGAGAGAGGCCACTGTGATCAGTGAAGAGTTCGTGCTTGTGAATGGCTGGCACTAGTCATTAAATGTGAGTCTGCTCCTGACTGGGCGGCTGTCAGAAGCAAGTGCTGACACTGATTGGTTGGCATTCAAAGCCATGTTCGCTGAGGGTGCTGTTGTTGATCGACTGGGCGGGCTTAAAACAGGTTCTGGCGGCTCCTTGTTACCATGCCTACAGAATAATGTCTCCTCCTAAATTTACGGAAATATTTTTATTCTCACAATTTGGGAAATGCTGGCATAGGCCAAACAAAAAATTCTGTTTAGGCGTTGTCTCCGGGACCAGAGACATTTTTCTGTGTGTGTCAGATACAAAGTAGACTTTAGTCTCCATTTCAAAAGAAAAGATAAGCCGGGCATTTAGGAGCACAGCTCTCTCTCTTTTCAAGAGATGGGAGGGGAGATTTCATTCTTTCTTGATGTCTATTAGAAGCTGATAACTTAGAGGCCCTCAGATGCCACATACAAATCATGCATAACTAAAGGTAAATAATAATATAATATGTGGTAAATAGGAGAATGAATTCTTCTGAAGAATCAAAATGAAGTTTATGTTTAAAACACTCTGCTGGCCAAGAAAATACTTGTCTGTGAGCTGGACTTGCCTCTAAACAATAGCTATATAAAAAGAAAAATTTTATTCATTTATTTCTTACTAACTCATGTAATGCACTTTCACCATTTAACCCTCACTGGAAACATAGTCTTTCTCTTTCCAAAAGCGTAGAACCAAGTTTCACCCAGAGTGTCCTCCGTTTATAATGCTGGTGTTGGAAGAAAAGGATCATCTTTACAGGCTCAAGTATGTCACGTTAGGATTGTGATTGGCTTTGGGAACATGACTGTCCAGAGAAAACCATGGTGTATTTTTGTGTAATAGTGAAGCATTTTAAAATTAAGATAACTCACGAGAGATGTGAATTTAGCTATGCCTCTGGTTACGAGAAAGCACCGTCATCACTGATCAGTAGGAACCTTGGGTTCACTTTAAAACGCTTTCCTCCTCGCAGGCTGCGAACCCATTCCCGTCCGCTACCTGGAGTGGAGCAACATAGAGTCCATCATAGCCATCGCCTTCTCCTGCCTGGGCATCCTTGTCACCTTGTTTGTCACTCTCATCTTCGTCCTGTACCGGGACACACCAGTGGTCAAATCCTCCAGCCGGGAGCTCTGCTACATCATCCTCGCCGGCATCTTCCTGGGCTACGTGTGCCCTTTCACTCTCATTGCCAAGCCCACCACCGCCTCCTGCTACCTCCAGCGCCTCCTGGTCGGCCTCTCCTCCGCCATGTGCTACTCCGCTCTGGTGACCAAAACCAACCGCATCGCGCGCATCCTCGCGGGCAGCAAGAAGAAGATCTGCACCCGCAAGCCCAGGTTCATGAGCGCCTGGGCGCAGGTGCTCATCGCCTCCCTCCTGATCAGCGTGCAGCTCACCCTGGTGGTGACGCTGATCATCATGGAGCCCCCCATGCCCATCCTGTCGCACCCAAGCATCAAGGAGGTCTACCTGATCTGCAATACCAGCAACCTGGGGGTGGTGGCCCCTGTGGGCTACAACGGGCTCCTCATCATGAGCTGTACCTACTATGCCTTCAAGACCCGCAACGTGCCCGCCAACTTCAACGAGGCCAAATACATCGCCTTCACCATGTACACCACCTGCATCATCTGGCTGGCTTTCGTGCCCATTTATTTCGGGAGCAACTACAAGATCATCACCACCTGCTTCGCAGTGAGCCTCAGCGTAACGGTGGCCCTGGGGTGCATGTTCACCCCCAAGATGTACATCATCATTGCCAAGCCCGAGAGGAACGTCCGCAGTGCCTTCACCACCTCCGACGTGGTCCGCATGCACGTGGGCGATGGCAAGCTGCCCTGCCGCTCCAACACGTTCCTCAACATTTTCCGAAGGAAGAAACCGGGGGCAGGGAGTGCCAAGTGAGTACCCTCACCCGGTTGGCTCCCCCCCTCCCCCCTCCCCCTTTCTTTACTAAATCACCTTTTCCACTTTTCCCGATGTTTCTCATTTTCTTTCTTAATCTTTCCTCTGCTTTCTAATCTCACGTTCTGTTGGAGGAGAAATGTCTTCTTGTTTTCATTCCTTTGACAGAACAAGGAGCGTGAAGCAGCAGCCAGCTCATCAGATCCTTATTCTGACCTAGAACCCGCAGCTTCTGTTCTGCCAATAAGTTTTTCCCTCTCGTGTGGGTACCCTCTCTGTGGTGCAGCAGCAGCTCTCGGGGTCTGGGTCAGAGATGCAAACTCTAGTTCCAATGTCTACTTTAGGCCATGGTTGAAGATCTTTTCTGATTTATTTTGATCCCTCCAGGGCCACATCATTACTAAGCTGGGATGAGAAGGGAATTAAGCACTTGGGGAAATTTTGCAAAATTTGACTGCCACTGAGCACCAAGTATGTTCTGAAATAAGTTCCCTTAAGCAACCGTCATATCAATCCCCTCTTATTTATTGGACTTTAGTGTACACTCTAATAAAGATGTGCCCTCATGCCACACGTTGAGTTATCTCAGCTGCCAGATCATGATCAGAATAGTTTCTTAACCATAAAGTACCAAAAGAAATAAAACCCAGATAAAGATGATGAGCCCCAAACTTGAGGGTCAGTGTGAACATCAAAGTCCAGGTCATTCTATTCTGGTCATTTTTCTGAGTACTTTGTGTAATAAACACTTTTCTGTCTTCTTCCTGACTCTGCATTGGAAAGAACCATATACTAAATTTTGCATGAGTCACCTTTTTCTGAGACCCATGAAACAAATTTCATGTAACAGTTACAACTTTGAAAATGACACAGATGCTCAGAGTTCTAAAGATAATTGGATTGTCCAAAAATTAAGCAATTTTCCCCATTAACAGTGTTAATTTTACATTTTGAAACAATCCTTTAAAATAAGAATTTTAGTGGTAAATAACATGCATTGTTTTATAACCATCCCACTTACCTGAACAAGTCAGCAAGATAAGGGGGATAGGTGCTAATTTTCTCCATTTTGTAAATGAGGAAACTGAGTCACTGTGAACTTGTGTGACTCACAAGTATAATTTCACTTAGCTAGCCTTTCTTTGTCTATGTCTTAACTGGCATAAAATTTCCCATCTTAACATATGTCCAAAAATCGACATGCCTTAAATTTCTAGTTTTGAATCTTTACTTGCCAAGACCATGGGCATCTTTTACAGAAATCCTATCATTGGTTTTATGACCAGATGAGAGAGTCTATGGAAAAATATATTTTTGAAATCCATAAAGTTATTTCAACTAAGGACATCCCTAAATTTTTTGCAGCATTATGGATGCAGGCAATAATTTACTCCTACTTCTCACTGCATCAGTTTCAGGTTCTTCATAGGATGCTGATCATCAAAGTTGCTTAGTCATATTTTTCCCCTTGCCATGGCTTTTTATGCCAGCCAGCTTCCCCTCAGTGGCAGCCTTCTGGCAGGGGATTCTCAGCAAGGATGACAGCAAACCAACAGTGCCATTAAATGAGGAAAAAAATAGGCCATAACCACAGAGTCCAGATGTAAAATGGCATGACAGTGTTCATTCAGAGGAAAGGAACAAGAGGAAACGAAATGAAAATACTCTTTAAACTGGAGTATTTATAGGAATCAAGACATTCTTTTTCGCATCACATATGGCTTTAAGAGGGTTCCATCCCACCATCCACCGTTGTCTAGCTCCATGTTCCTAACTTTTCTGCCTTTATTATGGTTCTTCAGAAACTTTCATTTGATTTTTAGTCATGGGTCATTAATGAAAGCTGTTCTTCCAACCACTTGATGAACACAGATCACCTATGTGAGCAAGGCAGCTTGTGCTGTACCCAAGAACATGCACAGCTGAGAGCTCTCCCAGTGATTCTATGCACGGTAGTGTTGGGCCCCGTCCAAGAGAGCGGTGACTGATCACAGCGCTTGCTGCTGGGAGGAGGCAGAGCCAGCCCGTGTCACTTTAACAAGGCTGGGCACGCCCATAGCAGCCAGGCGGTGCTGTACATTCTGATCACTTCCCCACACCTGCAGATGCTTTCCTTATAAGCTGACAATATTTCCTTCACTACCATGAGCTTAGAAATGAGTTTCATTTGGGATCCTGCTTTGGAGAGAAAAATCAGTTTGGTATAAAGTGGATTGGTTCTCTAAGACGTGCTGGCTTCGCCAGTAAGTTGCTTAGTTATTGGCTATAACTGATGAAGCACTATCAGATTATTACAGTAAGAAAAATACTTCTAATTAATAATTATTATAGCATGCAGCTTTCTTAGTACAATCTGTAGCTGCTCCAAGATATACCACGTAGCTAAGCTGATCCACAGAGGGTATTTGAGGCTAAACTTCTATGGAAAACAACCGTTCATTTACTCATTTTATTCGACTGTTGCTTCTCCTGTAACTCTCTCTGAGACAGTAATTTTAAAATATAACAATAATCTCAGCGCCTATGTTTTCACCTTTTTATTGCTGCTTTGTTTTCCTGGTTTGTCACCAAAGTTACAAGAACCACAAACAATCTAATATTTTCTACAGCAACAAAAATCTAGCAGAGTCTTGCCAGCAGAAGCAAGGGACTGAAAAACTAGAGAACAAACACATCACCCAATGAGTTTATTACCATCCTGGATGTGTAATTCCTACATTTATGGTGCATTGAGGGTGTTCAGCAGTCTGTAGATATAGCTATAAACACAGAACAGATGCTGTAATGAAGAGCTTCCAACTGATCTATCTGTTTGAATATTATTCTGAGGAGTTACAAGTCTGACTACATTCTCATAACAGGCTGTTTCTGAAATACATGGGTGGGATGACACTGTGGGTCTGTTTCTACAAAGTTTACTTCAATTTTTTTTATTTCATTCACAGCCAACTATGTGACTCAACCAAAGGTTTGGGCACTTGTTTTACATAATCCTAAGTGTAATGTTGAAGTTTAATCAATAAAATGGTTGTTTGGGTTGCTTGAGTTACTTATATTTAGAAGTCCTATTAAACATAATTTTACCTTGGAATATCAACTAAATAGTATATTTGTCTTGGCATTTCTAATTTCTTTAGCTGTTAGTTGAATGTATTTGAATGGGAAAATATTCAGGATTAACCTACTGTAAAGATACTGGTAAAATTCTCTTTATTGGCAACAGCAGAATGATAGAAATCCATAGACATTCATAATTAAGTAAATTATTTAGATCCAAGTTACTTATCACTTCCTTTTCAAGTCAAAATGAGTTAATATTATGCAACTGAAAAGTTAAAACATTATATAAATGATGTTTCCTTCAAAAAATTTTATCAATGACTAAATGTCAAACCATCATTTTTAGCTATTTTCTGCATAAATAACCTCAGTGAATGCCAAACAATTTGATGGCACGTGGAGCTAGAATGTGACAGTGCACTCCTCTGACCTTCTGCCTGCGTAACTATGCAAAACTAAAACAATTACAATCACAAAAAATGGCATTAGATTGATGCAAGCAAATAATTGTAAAACATAGTTTTGTAAGTAAATTGAATATTATTATGTTCCCATGACTGTTTTTTAAGCATTGGAATAGATGTTTCTACTGAGTACAAGAACTAAGTGAAATACTAAATGGAGTGATGCAATGATGAAATTTTACTCTTGGTTTCCACAAATAGAAGTAAATAAGCCTGCAGCATTAGTGATTATGCCCCAGATTAGCATTTTAATTTGTCTTTGCTCCTTTGATTATGAAAGGAAATATGATAGTGAGCCAACAGACATCACAATCAAATAGAGAAACAGGTTCTCTTTTATAGAAAGAACTCATTTACTATTCCAGCTTGTAAATGAGGAAATCTGTCATTTTGAAGTTCTTTTTCCCTTAATAACACAATAAAAGGAATTAAAAGTTATTGCAATTCTTCACTTGCTTTTGTAGTAAACATCAGAAGGTTTTAACAAAGCAAAGTACTTGTCATAGAATTTTACTACTTCATAGTAATATTTACAGAGGACCTACTGTTTGTTCATTCGTTTAGTCAATCAATCATTGTTTCAACAGTAAGCTTAAAAGCACTTGATATGCTATTGGATAATATCCAGGACAAAAAAGATGTAAGAGGCAGGGAATGAATGGGCCAAACTTGCAATAAGTAAGGGAGACATTTAGAACTATGCCAAAGTATACTGGATTAGGTGCCATAATAAAGGACCAGTATAACATTATGAGTGTTAGGGAACAAAGAGATTAAGTTCAGGTAGTGGAGGAGTATCTGTGGGAAGATAAGAAAAGATTTCTTAATAAAAGTGGAATTTGAAGTTGACCTTAAAGGATATTTTTCAACAGGAGAAACTGCTATGATGAGATTATTTCATATATGGAAAATAATGTAAGTGAAAATTCAGACTGTTAATTCACTTTCAGGCCACAGCATGGGATCTGGTATGAATGAAGAGCATGGGAGGTGTAGCGCTGGGTAAATAGGTCAGCACAGAAAGAGGACAGGTTACAGATAATCATCATTTGTTCTAAGAAGAAGCTTAGGTATTTTTTATATAAACCACAAGTGCAATAAAGATTTTTGTGAACTTTTATGATGACGTGTAAGCTTTTGGGGAAGAGAGTTAATAGAGAGCCATAATAATCCAAATGCCAGGTTAAAAATAAAAGTCTTATACTAGAGTCATGAAATGAAAGTCAAACCCAAAGCATGTATGTGGAAAAGTTTTCTGAACTTGATTTATTAGAACTGAAATATTGGTTTGGGGAGGAAGGAAGGAATAAAAAATAGACTACAACTCTCAAGATTTGAGCCTAGGTGACTGGGAAAAATACAGCTATCATAAAAACAGATCAGGACTACAGGAGCAGGACTGAGGAGACATTGATGAGTTGGATTTCAGACTTATCAATTGAAAGTGCTATAAAGGCATCCAAATAGAGACA